CCAACAAAATGGTTGGATGGATACAAGGGTTTGGAACGAAACGTTTATCAACGGTCAGTGGGCAGAATTTGTTTGTGACGAATTCCCAGACCCTCTAGCCATCTACGTCGACAATCTGAAGTGCCATGTGTCCGAGACCGCGCAGGAAGCATTCGCGTCGTGGGGGACAGAGCTCGTGCCTCTACCAAAAAACACTACTGCTGTACTACAACCTCTGGACGTGGGCATCATGGGCCCGTTCAAGAAGAAGCTACGCTCGCTGACGCTATCCTACAACTTAACCTCCATCCAGAGGAATGGGTCCCTGCCTCTGCGGGAGAGGCTGCTGGCGCTCAAGCGCATGTCTGCAGATGAGAAGAGAAAGCTGCTTGTAGACAGGGTAGTGACAGCGTGGGCGCCCATCGACGAGCGCTGCATCAAGCGGGCTTGGGAGAAAGCTGGACTGTAATACATCTTTACAGTTGATTGGATAAAAATATTAGGATTTGAAAGCATAGATAACGAAAAACCAAAAGTGTCATATTAAAGTGTCCTCGTCTGTACTACAAAAGATCGTAAATAAAAATATGAAGTAAATAAAGAATAGTACTATGCAAAACACTCTTGTTAGTAAGAAATATTATAAACGTACTCCAAATCTTAAAAAAATATTTTTGGTTTTTATAAGTACTAAAATGACTATTTAAGACGAAAAGTGCGTCACCAGGTCCTACAATTTTATAACCAGCTCATAAGAACATATATTACGTGTGTGCACGTCGGCGAAGCCTACCAATGCAAATTAACCCGCACACACGCAGCGCCCTTTGCGTGGCCAGTCGAATCGCAGCTGAAAATGGGGCAAAACGAAATTTGAGCGGTGCATTTAAGTACGATGTGTAGACCACATATAATATGTACACCACATATTGCAATTTTAGCAAATCGACGCCGCCTTCGCTGCGCTCGGCAGCCAATAGAACGCCCGCATTAGAGTGAGTTTTTTTTATTAACCCTAGCCCGTTACGGACGGAATGACGGACACAGACCACACTCCACTAGAGGGGTAAGACTAGCCGTTCGCCGCCGCTACGCGGCGGAGTGGCATGGTTTGTTGGAGATGCGGTGGCCGCAAATTTAAGTGCTTCTTAATGTCACGTACTTTGTTAGCGTCGTTCACCCCAGTAGATCTTGGCATCGTGTATTTAATCACTTGCTTTTCCGTAGTCTCATTCGGCCCCGTATAATATCGTGGCTTGGAACGTTTTCGCTACCCTGTACTACAGGTTGAATGTCGTGTTCTTCAATGGGCTGTGCTCTTCCGTGTTCTACTTGGTTTCGTGGCTCTCTGTTCACCCGTGGTTCACGATGTTTGTGGATATGCGCTCTTGAGCTTATGCACTTTAGTACAGCCTCTTTCGTGGCTCCTAGCTATTCCCTGTTCTCAAACGTTTACGCGGGCTGTACCGCTTTCGTGATACATAGGCATTCGTGGCCGTTGGCCTCCCATCGCCGGTACTATAACCGAAGGGTGCTATTTCGTGCTTTGGTGCCTCCATGCAGTCGTGTGGTTCCGTCGCCCGTGCATCGTGATCTCCTGATGAAGTGTCATCGACCGCGGTATCACACTATCGTGCAATCGCGGTGTGGTTATGCTTTCTATGGTATTGTGCACGTGTAGTGCATCTGCGTTGTCCGTGTTATCGTGCTCTACGATGCCATCGTGCTCCACGGTGTGTAATCGTGGCCATACCAAGCCCACCCCCTGTGCATTTGGTGGGCGGTCCGTAGTCCGTGCAATCGTGTTATCATGTACTGCTGTCCTCCGTGGCTCGGTAAGCTCAGGTTCTACACTGGTATGGTGCTCCGTGACTCGGTGATTACGCGTGGCAGCGTGTTCTCCGATGGTTTAGTGGATAACCCACCGTCCATGCTGTCGTGTTATCTCTGGTGTCGGGGCTGGGCTGTCGTCTGTGTTATCGTTAGCTACCGTAGTGTCGTGCTCCGTGGATCGGTGAGCTCATGTTCTACCTAGGCATCGTGCTCCAAAAATTGATGATTTCTGATTTCCCGTATCTGGCCTCCTGCGGGCTCAGATTTGGTCGGTTGACTGTGCTCCATGTTTACCCGTGGTGTTGCTGGAGAATTGTTTCTGTGCATTCTCACCGGTACGTGTTCTACCGTGGCTTCGAACGTGCGTACTCTTCCATGGCCCGTGCTTTTCAGCATGCTGGGGTGTCTATGTATTTAATTACCTTCCGTGGTCCGTACGCTCCCTTCATATTCTTGTCCCTCTGTCCTTTTCATAGCTGCGTGCACTTCCGCCTTTCACGCTACGCATAAAACTTCGTGGTTTGCATCGGCTAAGAATTCTATCGTCGTCCATGGCCTAACGTGCTTCGTGTTGCTCTTCTATCCCATCGTCTACATAGTGTGGGTCGGTGTTCTTTCGTGTTTCGTGTATCTTGCTGAGTCACGTGCCTCCGCGCTAGCTGAATCACAAACGCTGGTCCGATTTTGTTTGATGTACATAGCATATATTGCTGGAAAGTTCACACAATATGTTAAGGTCGCACACTACGTGCAAAAATACAGAGGAAGATGATACTTTTCCCCGGAGGCAGTGTGGAGTGCAGGGGTGTAAGCCACAATAGTCATTTTTATTTTTTCACATTATTATTAATAGTAATACAATTGTTATTTATTATAAAACGCTGATATTATAATTATGTGTACTACTACTACAACAAATAGCTGCAAGGAAAAATAGGAATTGTCTTGATAATAGTACTACTCAAAACAGCATTGTAAGTTTAATTTCTGGAAAAGTACTATGAAGCCGAAAATATCATTCTATATTCAATAGCTACTAAAGTTTCGATTGAGGCCTAAATATAAGTCACCAGGGCCTACAAAAAATTTCAACAGCTCCTACGACGATATTGTATGTGTGTGCACGTCGGCGCCTCCTATTAATGCTAATTAACGCGTGCACAGGCAGCGCCCTTCGCGTGGCCTTGCATACCGCAGCTGAAAATGAAAGCAAAATGAAATTTGAGTGGTGCATTTTAAGTACGATGTGTTGACCACATACAGTGTGTACACCACATAATTCAATTTTAGCCAATCGACGCCGCCTTCGCTGCGCTCGGCAGCCAGTAGAACGCCCGCATTTGCGTTACATTAATTAACCCTACCCTCGGACGGACTGACGGACTGACGCAGAGCACACTCCACGAGAGGGGTAAGACTAGCCGTTCGCCGCCGCTACGCGGCGGAGTGGCATGGTTTGTTGTAGATGAGGTGGCCGCAATTTTAAGTACTTCGTGTGTTGTGTGCTTTCAGTCTGATCTTGTACCCCGAGGCTTCGGCCATCCCCGTGCGATGTTGTGTCGTGTACTTAAAACACCTGTCATTTCGTAGTCTCATGTGGCAGTGTACGGTATCGTTAATTCGTACGCGTCCGTTGCTCCGTACTACTGGTTGGCGTCTATGTTCCTCCGTGGATATTGCCCTTTTCCGTTAATGCGCTCTCTCTTTTGGGCTCATGCTTTTCAGTAGTACGACACCCTTTCGTGGCTGCTATTTTTCCGTGTTCCCAAGGTCTTGAGTGGGTTTACAGGTTTAGTGGTCCATATTCATTCATGGTCCATGGCGTCTCATCGACGGTACCCTCGCCGACGGGTGCTATTCCGTAGTTATATGGATCCGTCCCCCGTGTAACGTGCTCTCCTGGTGTGACTTCATCGACCGCGTTATCGCGCTATCATGCGAGCGCAGTATAATTCTGCTATCCTATGCTTTCGTGCTCGCGTAGTGCATCTGTGTTTCCCGTGTTATTATATTCAACAATGGCATACTGATCCACGTTGTGCAATCGTGATATCCAAAAGCGCTCCCCGGTGCTTCCGTGGCTGATCTGCCGCCCGTGCAATCGTGGAATCGCCTTTTGTGCTCCGCGATTTGCCGTCTATAACTCCCCGTTGCTGCGGTGTTTATCTCACGGTTTAGTGGCTGGACCACCGTCCGTGCAATCGTATTTATCTCGCGGTATCGTGGGTTGGTCTGTCCGTCCGAGCCTATTGTGAGCTAACCGAAACACTGTGCTCCGTGACATTGGCTCTACCCTGGAATGGTGATCAATGCTCGGGAGAGTTCCCGCTTAGGCCCTCTGGAGACGTTTGGTTAAGATCATCGGCTGTGGATCGTAGTGTTCTGTTGATGTTATAGGAAGGATTGCTTTACGGACACCTTTAGC